AGACTCCTTGGCTTGCAGACCACGTCGTAGGTGACCAGGCGCTTTTCCCGGCTACAGGAATGATCATGATGGCTCTAGAAGCCGTAAACCAACACTTTCAGACCGACCAAGTCATTTTGGGCTACAATATCAAGGAAGCAACATTCATGAATCCCATCGTCGTTAGCTCTGAGCCTACGAGCAAGACCGAAGTGGTGACTCAGCTACGCCCGCTTCGTCAGGACTACGAGAAGACGTCGACACGTTCAGAAGTTCGTATTTTCGCTCGATCAGACAGCGAGTGGATTGAGTGTGTCCGAGCTGAAGTGCATGTGGAGTACGAGGAGACTGCCACAGAAGTAGATTGTGGTCTTGAGGCGAGAGCTCACGCTAAATCATTGCTCGATAGCTACGTTGCCGCGGAACAACAATGCATGCTTCCTATAAGCAAGACGGACTTCTACGACTGGCACAAGAACCAGGGCCTCAAATACGGCGAAGCGTTCGCGTTGGCAGACAAGATCCGCTGGGATGGGCACGAGCTCGGTATTGCGAGCGTCGACGTCAGCGCATCCATGTATTCTTACGAAGGGGTGGTGCACCCAGCAGTACTTGATGCAGCTTGCCAAGTCTGCTTTACTGCTCCGTCTACTGGCATGTCAGACAAGCTACCGACAATCATTCCTCACAAAGTTTATGATACCTGGATATCAGCATCTGGGTGGCAACACCCTCAAACTCGCCACATCAGAATGCTCACAACGTCAAGATTCAAGAAGACAATCAAAGGCATCGAGAGCTCTTTTACAGCGCTCGCAGATGACGGATCCCCGCTTTGCCATGTATCGCGTCTAGAGATGTCGCCAGTGCTCGGTGCTGAAACGAAGAACGAAGTGGAAAGGAAGCTGCTACATGGCTTTGATTGGAAGCCCCAGCTATCGCTCATGAAGCCAAGCCAGCTTCAGGCGTATTGTGAAGCTGATTATTTCGCCGATGATGAGTCAACGCAAGTCGACTTCATCATCGAACTTGAGCAGACGATTCGCGCTGTTGTTCACCGCAACCTCGACCGACTGGAAGACACGGACTGGTCTACAGCACCAACACACATGAAAAATTATCTGTCATGGCTCAAGCTACACCTTGAGCACGTACCGATACTGTCGCAAAAAGAGCTCACGGATGAAGAGCTGAACAAGAAGCTCAATCATCTGAGTATGCAATTCCCGGACTGGAGAATGTTCATCGAGATAGCAGAGCACATTGTCCCTATCGTACGCGGCGACATCAATGCGCTCGAACTGCTTTTCTCCACGACCCTCGCCCAAGACATATACAAAGCCATGTTCGCGCCAGTGTATAACGACAAATTCATCTCGTACCTCAGCCTAGTGGCGCACGAGAACCCAACACAGAAGATCCTTGAGGTTGGTTCAGGGACAGGCGCTATGACGGAACACATTATTTCCACTCTTCGCGACGTCGAGAACCGCACTGGCGGTACCGCATTCTCTAGCTACACCTACACCGACGTCTCCCCAGGCTTCTTCGAGAAGGCACGCGAAAAGTTCTCTCATAGCCAAGATCGCATGATCTTCAAGACGTTTGATATCGAAAGCGACGTAACGAAGCAAGGCTTCCAATCTGGTACCTATGACGTGATCCTCGCCGGCAGTGTCATCCACGCCACGAAGAACCTCGCCGCCACGCTCCAGAACCTCAAGCGTGCATTGAAGCCAGGAGGCAAACTCATTTTCCATGAGACTACAGCGCCAGACTGCTTCCTCATGAACTTTGGCTTTGGCATACTGCCTGGCTGGTGGCTCAGCGAAGAGAAGTTCCGTACTTCCGGGCCAACCATCACAGAACCGGAGTGGGATCGCTTGTTACGGGAAAACGGGTTCTCGGGCAACGAGTTCGTTATTCGCGATTATGAGGAGCCTGCTGCGCATCAATGCAGTGTGATCTTCTCAACAGCCGTTGAAGACCTTCAACCCTCACAGAAAGGTGGCAGAATACTGTTCGTTGTCAACGATGCCAACCAGTCTCACTACGGTTTGGGCACCCAACTCTTGCAACAAAAGCCCCGAACATCCCGTACGACGACAAGAATATGCCTATTCACACAGGTTGGCGTTGCAGAAGTGTCGAAAGAAGACATCGTCGTCTTTCTCGCAGATATAAGTGGGGATATATTGATGTCCACATCAGCTGAAGCATTACAGCTCATCCGGGAATGGGTGCATGTATCCGAGAATCTCTTGTGGGTCTCTTCTGCTATGCTCCCCAACAACACCGACTGCTCTTCTTATCCCTGTGCTAGTCTCAAGGATGGCTTTCTTCGGGCTATGAGGCTAGAATTCGCCAACAAGCGCATCGTAACGCTCTCGATTGAGGATACGGTCCGCGACTGGATCAGAGGATGCGATGTCATCTGGGATGTACTTGACGTAATGTCCTCAACGCAGTCGCCAGAACTCGAGTATGTGTTACGCGATGGCCACATGCTGACCGGGCGGCTCGTAGAAGAGAGGGAATTGAACATGGACTTGAACTCATTGGTCAAGCCACAGATGCGGACAGAGCTCTGGCTTCCTGGTCCACCACTCAAGATTGAGATTGGAAGCAGAGGCTCTCTTGAAACATTGCATTTCGCAGAAGACACTGAACATCATGCTCCCCTCGGGGACCGAGAGGTCGAGATTGAAGCCAAAGCGTGGGGTCTGAACTTCCGCGATATGTTTCAAGCTCTCGGCCGGCTGGAAGAAGATACCTTTGGCTCTGACTGTGCTGGTATAGTCACGCGCGTAGGCTCCGCCTGTACACGGTTTCAACCAGGAGACCGAGTCTGCATTTGCGGTGTTGGATGCATGCGAATGTTTCCTCGCGCTGACGAATGGGCTGCCGTTGAGATTCCAGAGGCCGTCTCGTTCGAAGAAGCGTGCGCAGTACTGAACTGTGGCATAACAGCATATTACTCCCTGGCCGAAGTTGCAAGATTGCAAAAAGGAGAAAAGATTCTGATCCATGCTGCATCTGGTGCGACTGGTCAGCTTGCTATCCAAATCGCGAAACTGATAGGCGCTGAAATATTCGTGACCGTGGGCTTCGACTTCAAGAAGCAGCATCTCATCGACCTGTATGGGATTCCTTCCGACCACATCTTTTACAGTCGAAACACGACTTTCGCCAAAGGCATCATGCGCCTCACAAGTGGGTACGGCGTTGACGTCGTGCTGAATTCTCTTGTGGGAGAGGGGCTGCGCGCTTCGTGGGAATGCGTCGCACCATATGGCAGATTTGTTGAGATTGGCAAAGCTGACATCAACGCCAATTCCTCACTCCCGATGGCGGCTTTTGCAAACAATGTCTCGTTCTTCGCGGTTGATCTGCGCCATATTGCTTTGAATCGCAAGCAGATGGGACGGGACTTGCTCCACAAGACGATGGACCTTGTTGGGGAAAGGAATATACACTGTCCGAGGCCATTGAACCTTTTCCCGGTGTCAGACGTTGAGGGCGCGTTCAGGTATCTCCAGAGCGGGAAGAATACCGGGCGCATCATTATCCAAATCGATCCTTCTGCAAAAGTGCAGGTACGTTTGTCAGGTCTTAAGTATCGATCAAGACTGACTAGTTTAGAAACGCGTTCTCCGCCGTCGATCGTGGCAATTTGACCAGAACGCCAGCTATGTCGTTGCCGGAGGACTGGGTGGCATCGGGAGATCCATACTCAGATGGATGGCCTCTAGGGGCGCGCGACATCTGATCGTACCATCGAGGTCTGGTACTGCTTCGGGAGCTGCTGTTGAACTGGTGAGCGAACTAGCGGAGCTGGGCATCAACGTGTGCACCCCGAAGTGTGATGCATCCAATGCAGGGTCGCTCTCTGATCTTCTCGCTGCATGCGCAAAGTCTATGCCGCCAATTCGAGGTTGCATCAATGCCACCATGATGCTGAATGTAAGTCGCTCAATGCTCACGCTCGAGAAATCGCTTACCAAGTCTCGTAGGACGCGACATTCGACAACATGAGTCACACTCAGTGGGTTCAGACTATCCGTTCCAAAGCCCACACTTCATGGAACCTACACACCGTGCTTCCTCGAGATCTGGATTTCTTCATCATGTTATCGTCGGTGGCAGGCGTCGTAGGCAACATCGGTCAGTCCAACTATGCAGCAGGCTGCACTTTCCAAGATGCACTCGCACGCCATCGAGTCCAGCACCAGCAGCGCGCAACGTCCATTGACCTAGGTGTGATGCGCACCATCGGCATCGTCGCGGAGACTGAACGCTTACACGAGAACTTCAAAAAGTCCGGCAGTCTCGGCCAGATTGAAGAAGATGAGTTCCTGGCGGTGTTGACCATATACTGTGACCCAGAACATACGAAGATGCCGATGACAATGGACAAGAGTCAGATCGCGATGGGTTTAGTAACTCCCGTTGATCTGATTGAACGCAATTTGGAACCAGCGGACGTTTTGCAGCGTCCACTCTTCGCGTCCTTTTCGCAAGCCCGTGGCACAAACCAGTCCAACACACAGAACAGCGTAAGCGCCGCTGTGTTGTTCAATCTTGCCGAAGACGATGAGCAGCGAGTAGCAGTGGTCCTCGAGGCGCTGGCGCGCAAGCTCGCACGCGCACTATCCATCCCTCCAGAGGAGATTGACGTTAATAAACCCCTTCACGCTTTCGGGGTGGATTCACTTGTCGCAGTCGAGCTGCGCAACTGGATTGGCAAGGAGTTTGCCGCGGACATTGCGGTTTTCGATATCATGCGTGGTAGGACCGTGGCCGCAATCGGGGAGCTGATCACGAAGATGAGTCAACTCAAGCGGACGAAGAAAGCTGTGGCCAGTCTTGAGGCAGATGCATGATGTGATAGACAATTTTCATGTTGCTTGAGGGATCGCTGCAGTGGGAACGCGGATGGCTGGGACTCCAGCCACTTCGTTACGATAGGGGCATTTGGCCCGTGGGTTCGGTCTAACCATAAACGGAATGTTATCATGACATCATAGCGAAGCACTCTCCCTGCTGTCTTTCTTCTCCTTGTGACGATCTAACCGCACCTCCAGCGGGCCCAAGTGCCGCTGTGAAGCTACTGTTCCTCTCAATACAGCGTAGAGGTAGATTCCGGTCAGCACCTCCGGCCTTCCATTCCGCTGCACACTCTGCGTCTGATCTTGCAGCGCTGCGTCCGTATTCACTGTCGGGTCGCTGGGAGATGTCGCCTTCATCGCTTTCTTGTCCTTGCATATCCAGACGTTGCCTAGCATTAACGCAGCGAGGATGCTGAGGGCTAAAAATGGCAAAATGGAGATGAACGACCAACTAATAGCGTTGGCGGCAGCAGATCGGAAGCGTTCCAGATCTTCCAACGAGAGGTCGCTGATAGCATTCAATGCGGTGGGTGAGTTGACGTCGAATCTAGATAACCCTTCACTACCGACGAAGTAGGCCGACATCTTGTTCTGGAAGACCGAGCCCATCACCGTCAAAGCTATGGTTCCACCGAAAGGACCAGCGAAGCTCAAAAGGCCGAGAATGACAGCGATCTTGTCCCGGTACATTCCTGTCAGGTGTAGGTTCTCTGGCATAAAGCGGATGCCAGTACCGAACCCGGCGACGCCCATGAGCACGTTGACAGCGGTCCTCTGGCGAGCACGTATAGCCCATGATAGCGCTCCGATGCTACCTGTCTCTACGATTGTACCGATCAGTAGGGGCCAGATGGTCTGTCGAGGGTGTACGTTGCACATGATAATGGCAGTGTATACGCCGATACCGATCCCGGGAACGTAGAACAGCAGCTGGAGCCCAGCTTTACCAGCGTCGAAACCCTCAACAAGAGTGAAGTAGATACCGGCGAAGTAGAAGCAGGCGTAGAGAGCTGCACCTGTTGCTGCGGAGATGATACAGACTAGGGTCACATCCTTCTCGTGAAAGAGTTGGTATGGCACCACGGGCATGATCCGTGGAAGCCGTTGCGCGAGACGTCGGCCCGGCGCCATGTGTCGTTGGTACATCACGAACACTACCAGCAAGAATGGGCCGGTGATAAGCGGTGTTAAGACGGCTGGTGATGTCCAGGCATAAGCCGAGCCACCCCAACTGGTCGCCAGGATAATCAGCGCCACTCCAACGACGAACGTTCCCACGCCGATCAGGTCGATACACGCGCATCCATCGAGGAAAGACCTAAGAGAAGTCTGACCCGACTGCGGATGAGCCACCGAGTACCTCCCCTTCTTCAGATCAGGTCGCAGGAACGCAATAGTGAGGATGCTTATTGCGCTCAAGGCGGACAAGAGCACAAAGACATATCGCCAATGCACATTCGTCATGTAGCCTCCGATCTGATTACCTGTTAGCAGTAATAAGCTCAGCTGCTAATAGTCATACCAAAGGTCCAGTTGCATACGCAATGCCGATCAAGAAGTGAAAGATGCTAGTATTGAACGCTTGCTCTTTCAGGGACACGTTGTCCGCCAAGATGATGAGAGAGCATGTAGACATGCCGGCCGTCCCCACACCCTGTAGTGCTCGACCAAGTACCAAGATTGGCCAAATTTGTGCGCTTGCACAAAGGACGCCGCCCAAAGTCATAATTATAACAGCAATCTGCAGGGCTGCGTACCGTCCGAAGACATCAGCTATCTGGCCAAACAAGGGGACGAACGCAGTGTCTGTGAGTGTGAAGGCTGTGCCGATCCAGCTTATCTGGTTCAAAGCTTCTGTTTGATAGTAAGCATGTACACTGGCGGTCCTTGGAGAGAGTACTTACGGAAATGAGAGGCGATGAACGGCTGCGCTGTGGCGACAACAGTTAGATCCATACTCGCGGTATAGAAGCCTGGCAATAGCAGTAGGAGAAACTTCCATCGTCGCGCTTGAGTTATCCATGTTTCTCTGCTAGTAGCCGCAACAATACTAGCTGCGATGAACTCAGGTTGGTGTTCTTGGCCAGACTGCGAGGGCGCCGTCATCGTACGGTGAAGGAAATGTGGGACGTCGTTTTTGTAGACCTTAGAAGGTCTTATACGAAATCTATACTGATGTACACATCAATGTATGTTTTAATCCTGGCTTCGAAGTCTACGTCTTTCTTATAAAGAATGATGCACATCTCTACCATAGAGTGCCAAGTGTATTGGCGAAGTGTTGACGAGTGCGAGAGGTCGGTGGCGCAGGCCAAGCATGTCGCACTCGCTAGCACCGGGCGTCAGGTGCGATTCTCAGCCTAAATTCGCATTCGCTAGATTGTTCGCATTGAGGAAGTTGTATTTTCCGAGACATCCATATGACTGACGTCAACTTCGTGCGTCTCTCTTGTATGTTGCATATACTTGTAGGTGCAGCGTAGACATAATCTAGCAACATGATCTCTTGTAAAAGCTTTCTTGGCTCAAACTAGTACGAGGGCTGAGCAAGATCATCGGAAGTGAGCGAAAATCACCACAGACTGCTACTACATGATATTGAGACGAAGGAAAGTTATTAACATTAGACTAAAAATTGACAAATACGATAGATGAAGGAAGTGAGCAATGCCAACCATTCTCAGCCTGGTCGTGAGATGATGTGAGCTCCTCGGACAGATCTTAAGTCTCTCTGGTAGTCGTTCATCCTTGCAGAGAAGATACGAACGAGATCAGTGACATTCTGATGAAACTTCTTGCGCTCAGCGTCGTTCGAGAACTCGAACCGGAGCCAGTACATGTCGCGCACACATACCGCACCCGTGTCAGATGACGACCAATGTGCACCGACAGCCGCCAGATTCCAGCTGTTGAGCCCCTTCTTCGCATAGAAACGACGTGCTAGCAGTGGTGTACCAGATCGCTCTAGCACACTGACTGTACAGCTGGCTTTGGTTCTTCGACAGTCGCAGCTTTTTGGCTCGATCTTCGTGCGCTCATCGAGCTCAATGGCTAGGAAGGATAACTGTCCTGTATCTGGCTGTTTGAGAAATACCACAAGTAACGGTGGCTCTGGTTGTGTCAATTGTACTGCCCTGACTGCAGAGCCCAGGGATATTTCCTGTGAATGAGCGCTGGAGATGTTGCTCATGATGCTCGACGTCGAGGTGAAAGTCCGTTCGCTGAGTGGCTCAGGACTCCATGCACCCGATACAGTTTCTGAAGAATTTAACAGGTCTTCTGACGACCTGCTGTATTGGTGTTGGGACGCGGATCTCTTTTCGAAAGAAGCTTTCTGCCACAACTGTATGTTTCCGATCTCAGTCAATACGTCGGTGGTCTTGCTTGGTCTACCTTCGGATGCGCCACCATTCGTTGGGAAGCCCTGCCCCTTCATGAGAGAAGTGACTCTTGCGTTTCTCCTTCAAATTTGTCAGTCTCATACAGGCATATAGTTGAAGTGCTGCTTGCGCGACAAGTTTTGTAGGCTAATGGCTACCCACCTTTGATGTACGCATCTGTAGCCCGTAATGAGGTGTTGCAATCTGAACAAGTCGGTACATGAGCGAAACTCTGGAGTCAGGCCATTTGTGTCATCAGGGGAGCTCTGCAGCTTTACGCTACAAGAGGCATCTTGTGAGCCTGAGACTTTCGGTATTGCATACACAGGGACCAGGAAAACCTTCCTTGGGTCAAGGTTGAGTCTTTGTGTTACTCTGTCCCTGGAACTGCCGCCAGTGCATGATGTTATAGTCGTGGTGGTATCTTCCATTCCCAACGTCCCATCCATGTTACGCACTACGCGAAAGGTATGTGTCTGCGTACCGGAGACAAGCGAAATATCCAGAAGAACCCCAAGATTCGTTTCGTGCACGTTATCGTTGATGGAGATAGGTCTCGGCCAGATAGCAAGCATTTCCTCGGGAGACCGCATAATAGTAGATAGTCGGGGGCGCGCGATTGGACTGCTAGCGATTCGAGCGCACTCTATGCGAAGTCGTCGATCCATTTCCCGGATGCACCTATCATAGAGACCGCCTGGATTTGAGCTTTGGATACTTGACCAATCGTGTCCTTCCCTAATCTTGTCCATTGGCCATATGCTTTTGAGAAGGCGAAGATATGATGTCGCATCTCCATCCGGACGAACGCCATTGAAATGATTGCAAAAGGCTTCTAGGCCTTCTCTGACTGATACTTGCAGTCCGTCAGATGTTTTCTCCCAGTCAAACGTATACAATAAAGAACGTTGCTGTAACTCCGCTGTGAAGCGCTCGGCAAGTTCGACAGGGACTTCTATATCTCGCTTGATCACCGGCTGATACGCGTCGGTGCTTGAATCGCGACTAGCAACAAGTAGGTGCTTCAGCTCCTGAATTCGCTCCGCCAGGTCTTGGTGTTGTTCATTGTGGAGATCCCGCAGCTGTGTTTGGACATGAACGTTGAACGCGTCGAGAACGAGACCAATCTTGACGCTGTGATGTTTCAAACGCTCAGTCAAATCTCTGACCTGCGCATCCGTATTCAGGTTGTAGATGATGTTGGTGATGAAGCCGTCTTTGCCAGTACGAAATTTGCTGACGTCATTGAGCAACTGCTGACACTGTTCCAGCGTCAAGCGGAAGTTGCCCACGATATCGATCAGCGCTGTGGTATCATATAGTTCAGGTCCATAGCTCTCGAGCCTTTCGTTTTCTAAGCCGGTGTTCGCGGTTCTGACGATGGATTCGATGGTGTTGAGACTCCAGTGCAGCCGGAACAACGCGTCGCCAAACTCAAGATACCGTCGCGCTAAAACAATACGGTTAGCGCGGAACGTGGGTGGGGTGGCTGGGAGGACAAACGCAGCGACTTCTCCTCCGTGAACCCCTTCTCGTATATGATCCACGATAATTTGATGGCACCGCAAACAAAGCTGAGTACACCGAAATCCCACGGCATGTTACCGACAGTTGCAATGCTTTGAGAAGATGCAGGCTAGGGACCGACGACGATACCTAAGGAGCTGTCTGCCGTTATCTGGCACACGCGCATCCCTTCCTCGCGCATCCCCTGCATCTCCTCAACTGTGGCAAGCGATGCTTTGTTCACTTTCGGATTTAGCCTTGCACTCCTACGCAAAGTGGCTTTCTATTGAATTTCGAAGCGACCTCGTGTTAGTGGCTGCTGTTCACATGGCAAGTATCGTTAAGCAAGGAGTCGCAGCTTCGCGGTGCGAAGGCTTTGAAAGTCGACGGAAAGAGCAAAACTCTGAGCAAGGGCTTCGAAGACTAGCTCTTCTGCCGGGTGATAACTAATGCATGAAACTCAAGGGATAAGTCATTCAGATACCATTACCGGCTTCTTGCTGGACAGTCACTACTGTAGCTAGGTACTACTTATCCAACCAGATTCCTAAGCTTCACCAGCTTCAAATCGATGCTCAGTACCGAACGATGGACGAATCATTTAGCGTCCAATCGGGAGATCGCAGCCTGTGCTTAGACGAAGAAGACCGCGCATACCTCGAGGCTTTGAACGACAAAGATGTTGTCGCTACGAAAAGCACGCCGAATCCTCTAGGTCTCTTCTCAGTAGTGGCCTTCATACTCCAGCAAGTCATCGGTACTGGCATATTCCGAACACCATGGACCGTTATGCAGGCCACCGAGAGCTCGGGAATCACGCTTTGCTTTTGGGCTTTCGGTGGGCTTGCAGCCATCGCGGGTTCTATTTTGTACATCGAGTTCGGCTTGACTACACCTCGGCATTCAATTGATGGCGAAAGAGTGCCGGTTGTACGCAATGGTGGAGACATGAACTACGTGAGTGCAGAACTGCAAGCCTGCCACTGATACACGGCTGACCGCGACTAGGTGAACTACCTCATCAAGCGACCCAAGTTCTTCGTCTTTTCCTTCTACGCAGTCAACTACGTGATCATTGCTTCGAGCGCAGCCAACGCATTGACTTTCGGCGACGACATAATAGGCTCTCCAGGAACCGATCGAGGTGCAGCCAAGGACGCCGCGGCACGATGTCTTGCGATAATGGCAGTAACGCTTCCGTGCTTCTTGCACGCGTTCACTCGACGTGGGGGGATTCTGCTCAACAACGTCATCGTCGTTGTCAAGATTGCCATCCTTTGTGTGTTTCCAATCATGGCGATATGCGTATTGGCTGGTGTCGCGCATACGAACCACGCAACAGCCAATATGGAATACAAGAACTCGTTTGCGCGGACACACGGAAACGCCGACAGCTATACGCAAGGCATGCTAGCGGTCTTTTACGCCTATGGCGGATACAATCAAGCGAACTATGTGAGTCTTCATCCCGACATCCTATCGACTCACCACTTACACATGCTCAGATACTCTGCGAGATCCACAGACCACGCAAGAACTTTCCCAAAGGCATCATCATTGCTCTTGGAATGATCTGTATCCTGTACATGCTCGTTAACATTAGCTACGTAGGTCACCTTTCTTACGGACATAGTCATTGCCCAGACCCGAGCTGACATGCCCAGATGATCGTAGTCAGCAAAGAGCAACAACTTGCATCCACAGATGTAGCCCTCGCTTTCCTCAACAACGTCATCGGCCACAAACACGCATCTGCAATCCTCGCCATCTTCACGACCATCAACAGCTTTGGCAATGTCATCGGCATGACATTCACCCTTGCCCGCGCGAAACAAGAAATAGAGAAAGAAGGTGTCCTACCATTCGCCAAATTCTTCGGCGAGAACCGCATTCTTTTTCGCAAATACCGCGAGAAACACCATTCTAGCCAGTCGGAGCCCACTCCCTTGGGCGCGCTATTCCTACACTGGGTATGCGCCGTGTTCCTGATACTAGTAACATGGCCCATGAAGCCCTCGTCTGCATACAGGATCCTAGCAAACCTATACGTATACCTCATCGATATCATACCAACCTTCATCATGGCAGTCGGCGTGTTGTATCTCCGTACCTTTACGAAGTGGTCTCTCAAATCGCCTCTCCCAACTTGGTTGAGTGTCACCGCTGCTCTGATCTACGCTATCGCTGGCGGCTTCCCCTTGGTCGCAGTCTGGATACCACCGTTTCAATACTCAGATCTTGACGTTCACGACATCATTCCCGGACTTCCTTGGTACGCGACAGGTTTGTTGTCGTGGATAATGCTGACATGCTGTATTGTGTATTGGGTCTCGTTTCGCTTCTTGCTACCGCGCATTGGGCCTAGGAAAGGCAAAGAGTTTGTGGTTGAGAGGGAGCCGGTCTTTCGTATGCAGAATGCGGAGAGGGTGCAGTGGCATGAGATTGTACTCCATAGCTGGGTTATCAAGGCTCAGCCTGAGAAGAGGAGGGAGTACATGTTGGATGATCTTTAAGTTTAGCTTTGCATAGACATGCAGGACGGTCTAATCACGCCCTACACATCCTCCTTCCCCTTGAACTCATTAGGCTGTACCATAACCCTCTTTTCCCTCAACCCCTCCCTCTCCTTCTCCGCTTCCTCCTCCTCCTCTCTCTTCTTCCTCCTCAGATACTGACAAAACTGACTCCGATCCCTCATCCTACCACCCCACCGCACGAAAACAAACGGCACAACACACAGCGCCAGACTGAAGAACCCCAGTAGACTAGTCGCCCAAGCCACGCCCATAGTCCTATACATCGGTTTCGCAGCAAAAGGCAGCACAGCCCCAAACGAAGATCGCGATAAACTCGCTGCCGCCATGGCACTCGCGGCGAAGACTTCGTAAGCGTCGACTAGATAGTTGAGTAAAGCCATGAAGAGACACAGATATCCCATTCCAAACAGTATCCCCGCGAGCGTAGGGACAATCCAGTGGATACTCTCTCTACTCGTCCAGCCCAGCCAGAACGCGCTGATAACGAAAAACGGTCCGGCGATGCAAGCAAGGGGCAGCCTCCTCATTTCTTCGTTGCGCGACCAAGGGCGGTTGAGGCGTTGAGCGCGGGCCAAATACCAGTCCCACGACAAGTAAATGCCAGCGGAGATGAGGGCGCCGACGCCGATAGGGAGGAAGGCGAGGCCTGTCTCGCCGGCGTTGAAGTGGTAGATGCCGGTGAAGATTATGGGGTAGGATTGTAGGAATATGTAGAATATGGCATCTTTGGGGGTGGGGGTTAGTAAGGAGATGGCTTTGTGCAGGAATGGTGGGGGAAGGCTTGACTTACAGGCGTAACTTAGATACAAGCACGTGAACAGCACGAGAGGTTCAAAGCAGATCATTCGTAGTGGTCTGGTCAGGATGACGGTGACAATGTGGTTCAAGTCCGTCTTCTCCAATTCAAGTGGCGCGATGATATTCTCGTTACCCGTTTCCTTGCGTAGTCGCTTCGCGCGCCGCTTTAGGATAGTGGGACCGTATGTTTCGTCGAAGAAGTAGAAGAGCGGCCATGTTGCTCCGGCAAGTATGACTCCGATCCAAAAGGCCCAGCTCCAGGATACTACGCTGATGAAGCCTGATATTGGGGGTCCGAGGATGGGTCCGAATGTTGTTGCTGCCTGTTATACTCTGATTAGGTTTCCTTCCTTCTGCTAGAGGCCATTAAGAGGAAGGGGATAGGAGCCACATACCATGAAAATCGCCATACTCCTCCCCCGATACTTAGGATTGTGATAGATATCCGCACATATCCCGCCGACAACACTAATCGCGCAACTCCCTCCCACGCCCACCAACAACCTGAAGATGACGAGCGAAGCGAAGTTTGGTGATAGCGCCGAAGCGATGGAGAATATTGTGAAAAAGGCAAAGGATATCACCATGGTTCCTTTGCGGCCGTAGGATTCTGAGAGAGGGCCCCAGAGCATGGGGCCGCATGCGTAGCCAACTAGATACATGGATGTGGGGAGGATGAGCGCATATTCGTTGGTTTGGTTGAAATGGCGAGATATTGGAGCCGTGGCTCCGGCTGCTAGGCTGGAGGTCATGGTGCTGTTCATCACTTTGTCTGGTTCAGCTGAGTTGTCAAAAGAAGGATTAGGGTGGCTTACCACTCATGATAGCAACGACGAGGGCGTAGATCTTCTTCCACTGGAATACTTGTTAGTCCTTCTTCGAATCACTTTTCCATTGTTCAACTCACACGCCCCCAATTGTTAGGATTCTCAGGGTCTCCATCTTCAAAGCGGATAACCCGTCTCCCACTCGTGTGCTCATCGTGGACACTCGACGCCGGCGACGGTGAATTCGACCGTCCATGCGAACTCAGCGTTGAAGGTGTTCTCGACGCAACTTTCTCAATCGCATCCTCCTTCTCCGTATCGTCAGATGTGCCAGCATCTTTCTCAAGTTCCCTCAGTCGCGCAGCACGCGAGCTCTCTATAGCACCGGCTATGTTGACCCGTTAGTAACCCACACCCCCAACATCGCAGTAAGACGAAGTTATGCGTACAGCGATTTCTTGAACTCTGTCGACTCGTCGTACTTCTCTGACTCTTCGAAGTAAAACTGCGGACAAGAGCGACAGGTGAGGTAATGGCCTCATGACCCGGCCCTAAGCCTTGTTGTTCCCGGGAATAAGTTCGTTCCAGATCTGCACTCTCCATGCTGAAATGATTACCCGTAAGGATGACGCGCCTTGCTTTCCAGCAATTTGAGGTTCAAAGAAGCAAAACGGATGACTTTGCGAATGCAGTTAGAGAACGAAAACGGGTAGTAACAGACTAGAACTTGGGTAGTATACTGCGCGACCCCGCGCACTTGTGGATTAGCATCCGAGGTGTTTAAGTAGGCGCCACAATTCCCCTGATCAATAATTTTCGTGGCTGCACGTCTACCTGGGTTGTCGATCGTAGCCGTTACCGCATGCAGAGTAGGCGGGGCTTAACTTACGAATGCATGACGGGTACCGTTTAGCTGCGTGCGCCCTACGAGGCCCGACGGGGAACAAGACGTTATTATGCATCGGCAAACTTACCGATGCGCGGCTCTCCAA